ACATTTGGTGGCTTGGCTGTGGAGTCTCTATGAAAACGGATGAAGACGACCAATAGGAAGCAAACAGCAACAACGGTCCAATTTTTGACCGTTTTTCCTTTGTATCCGTTGTAATAAAAAAATTATTTAATTTTCAATTTTAAAAACACAAACTACAACTATATATAAATACCACCTATTCACACTACAAAAACACACAACTTCTTTCTATTTTCTTACCTTTTTCTTCAACCTATTGATCCAAATCAAACACCCTAAATGATCCATATGCAAATGTTAGTTATATGTAATTGATAACTTCATCAATCCAACAACTTTTATTCACCAATCTTTCATACTACCCAAACTACTACCAACAACAACAACGACCACAACAATTCAATCAACCCTAATTTCAAGTCTTTCAACAACAACTTTCTCAACAATTTCAACCCCAATCTTCTCAACCTCAAAAATTTCATGCACAACCTTCACAATTATCTCAATCTCAACCTATAAACCTCTTCAATGATGACGAACGGGTCCAAGAAACACAACAACCAACTCAAAGAAGACAGAAAAAGGAAAAGAACCAAAAAAAAAATTACGCAATGGAGCGAAGATGAGGAGGAAACGTGTTTTAGACAACTTTCATGCACAATTGGGAAGGGAAACAGAGCGAACGTACGACACGGTCAGTGCAAAATGGCGTGACCTATGAGCGGCGTGCACGAAATTTAATGACATATTTGACAATCTTAAAAATATACACAAAAGTGATAGCAACAATTTCAATATTTTATCAACCATATGCTACCAATACAAAATTACCAATAATGGTAAACCATTCGGCAACCAAAAAACGTGAGAAGTTTTTTGTAAGGATAAAAAATGGGTCCTTTATCCGGGTGGGGCGCATTCAGGATCTACCACCGAATCCAACAAAATGCCAAGAACTTCTGAGTCCAACGTGAGTTTTGGCCTCGGCCTCAATGATGACTTCGATGACACTGAGGGGGAGGGTCCACCGAAAGTCCAAATTCATCGACCACCGGGAAGGGATAAATTGAGAAAGGCGGGGTCTTCAAGCGGAAAAGCGAGTAGCGAAGACGTACTTGCGGAAAAAAATATATAGACAAAACTCTAACTTTTCTAGAAAAAAATGAATCAACGAAGGAAGTTCGTTGCCGAAAAATAGCACTTACTGATCTTCAAATCATGTTCAAATAGCAATATTCTTGATTCCTTAGCAACTTTGTGGCTTTTTTGATTCATGTATGGATCATGTTCTTCCGATAGTATGGGTTCATACTACCTTCCACACCAATCCATACCAGATCCAAGAACTGCTCCAAGGTTTCCAAGTCACTACACTCTGCTATTGATACGTATTTTCACACATACAGAGTTTAATGACCTGATTATTTCTTTCCTAGATTTCACTCGGACCTTGCGTCTCTACCGACACCCTATCTTACGAATATATGCCTTATCAAACACATAATAAACTTCCTAGGCTTTCCTTCTAGGATTCCTACCACCCCTCCTTACCATTGGCTAAGGAAGTACTTTAATTAATATTAACTAATTATCGGACGAATACGATTACATGCCTCTAAAATCAAACAGTCGGTCGACTGAGAGATTCGACACTATGGCAGTTAGACTCAGACAAGAGTTGTGCAATAGCGCCAAATCAAACAATCTAAAACTATTTAATTCTGGGAGCATGCAACCAAACACATTTATCAAATAACTAATCCATATTAATATAGATTCTAAGTAGCAATTAACAAGCAAATTCCTAGTCTATAAAGCATCTTAAGTATCGGGCAATTCTAACCGAGAATTTCTTGAAAAGATCCCTAGCCTACATACTAGCATGCATTTCTAACATTTCATATATCAGCAAACATAACAATTGTGGATATTTTGGGAATCACTTTCCTTTCTGAGCTTTGGATGACTGCACACATTGCATTCTTTCCTTTTTGTATTTTTTCTTTTTATGAAAATATTTGTTAATTACTCAGATCCTTAGTTTGAGTCTGGAATCACACGAGTGTTTATCCAGTTTACTCAAACCATGACTCTTATACCAACTTGTTACGTCCTGATTTTCAACCAAAATTCTTCATTTTTATTTATTAAAATATATCAAGGTTATAATTACATTATGCGGAAACATGTTGCAAATACGCGTGTGTACATTCGAACCTTGCCCTTCTCATAATGTACCTGAAAAACATTTATAACAACTAGGTAAGCGCTAGGCTTAGTGAGTTCTCGAAAATACCATATACCATTATATGTATACATGCATACAAACAATAACTCACGATCTACAAATAAGATGTGTATCTTGGAATACGCGGGCATGTAGGCTCCTAGATTCTTTAACTATTCCACCATCATCCCTTAACTAAATCTATGTGGGTCTATACGTTCCTGAACTCTTTAACCGTTCCACCATCAACACCTACCTAAGTCTAATATCACAATAATTACGTATATAGAGACTGCACTTTTAGATTCTACTAATACAGACAAATCTATACTTTCCACTCTACCAGTTCACACTTAAGCACATAAAGATTATATTGATAGCTCTACTCTATTCATTCCATGTCCTAACATTCATGGATATATATTGCAGTACATGGTATAGTGAGATAACTCACCTGAACAATTTCTTCGACGATTGACAGATATCCCTCTGGCATAACCGGTAACGTGTCTAACATATATTAACCTAGAATATTATAGCTTATCAGTTCCTATGACAATCTGATAATGAAAGTCAAATCTATCACTAATCCCAATGAATACCAAGAGTTCTATTAAATAAGGATCAGTTAGGCTAGACAATTGGGAGGCGGGATCATTTTAGCGTATAATCTTTCTAAAATCCAACAACCAAGCCAACATGACCATTCTAGACATCTCTCCCGTAAGTAGATCAATCAACTTTATAACTGGAATTACTGATAAATCCTATATATATATATATATATATATATATATATATATATATATATATAATAACGACTATGAATATTAAGTACACTAGAAGCATAGCTTAACTTATAGAGAGTTTCTTACAAAAAACAGGATTTACTCTGGCAGGACTTCGATACTGAGCACTTCCAGTCCACCGGACTCTCAGATGCCTCAGGGTCTCACTAAAAAAAATTCCTAGACACTCGAAAGTAGCTCTAGAGTTCGAATTTAGAGAGAGATGTACGAGAACGATGTGTGAAATGAAGAAGCTTGATCCAATATTTATAGGCTGATTCGGGGTGCACGTCGTGCATATGGTCGGGTGTGCGTCGTGCACTTGGTGGGAGGTGCTAATGTGGCGTTGTCTGGGTGGTGACACGTTGTCCGTACACGTGGCTGCGCATGAAAATTCTTATTATCTTTGAAAATTCATATCCTCTTCATACGAGCTCTACTTTTGATGCATTTTATATCCACGTGTAGCTATCGACGAGATCTACAACTTTTATTTGGACTCTGTCGTCTAATTTTAACTTTATTTTTAAAGCTATATTTTTAACATGCTTAGACTGTTAAAGCTCGTATAAAAATCATAACTCTCTCATACGGTATTTGTTTAAGAAAGCAATGTATGGAATTTAAATCCTTTTCTTTTTCCTTACACTCAAGAAGTTTCAAATCACCATTTTAACGGTGATTTTCAGATTTTTGGAATTTTTTTTGAAACGGCAAATAAAAATAAACATCTCCTCTGCCTGGGATTGAACCCAGAACCTCCTGGATAGTTGTTAGATTAGAAACCTCCTTGTTAACCAAGTTGGCTAGCCCCAACTTGTAGAAGGTGCAACATGAGAACTTCCCAGGGGATCACCCATCCTAGTACTACTCTCGCCCAAGCACGCTTAACTCTGGAGTTCTGATGGGATCCGGTGCATTAGTGCTGGTATGATTGCACCTTTCAGATTTTTGGATGAACCCTATAAAAGTAGGTCCGAAAATTTTGGCTTAATTTCTTCAATTTCTTTGTAGGATAAGCTTGGGGAAGCATTGTGGAGGAGATTGCAAGTGAATACAAGAAAAAATTTCGTGTTTCAAGCTACAAATCGGGTATTCTCTTTCCAATTCCTTGACTTTGCATTGTTAGTCATAAAAGCTTAAACCTTTGTGCCTAAACTGTCAAATTGAGTGTCAATTGTGTGTTAGTTCTTTGAATTGGTTGTACATTGTGCTTAAGAGTCAAATTTTTGTGCTTAAATTTTGTTTCTCTCATGGCTTCATCATCTTGTGGGGGTAGCAAAAAGAGTAATTCTAAGCGTTCTAGAGTCGTTGAATCTAGGGTTAGTCAATATGGCCCAAATCCTCCACGCCAAAATTCCGGTGAATTGGCATTCTTAGATTCTTAACAAGAAGCTAGGTATCATAATTTTCTTGGACGTAGGCGCCCAACACAAAAATCCACGGACATGCCTACTCTCGAGTCCCTCCATATATATGAACAAGTCCGTGTTTTGTTTAGAAATATTGGGTGGGAAGGGTTGTTGTCATTGCATGATGTTGGTTATGTCCAACCTACTCTTGAATTTTTGTCATCTGTTTCCTTCAATTATCGAACTGAATATCTCTCATTCCGTGCTTTCAGCCGTAATTATCAGTGGCATAAAAATCAATTATGTGAACTCATTAGTGCTCCAATTGCTAAAACTTACAGTCCATTTCACATATTTAATTTTCCATTTCAAGAGGATTCTAAAGCTTTTTGGGGGAGAATTTCAGGATTGAACTATACTCCACGCGCTGCCAAAACATCAAGTATCATTCATCATGTTCTTAAGGCCACTCATCACATCCTTGGATTTGTTGTATTTCCACAAAATGAGATAAGCAAGGTTGGCCAAAAAGAATTAGAGCTTATGTGGTGTATGATCCACAACCCAAATCAACTTCCCGATTTTGGATTATGGATCATTTTCAAATTGTTGAAGTTATCCCGCAGCATTAATGGTAAATTACTTTGTGGCGGCATGATTACAATTATTCTCAACCACCCAGCTCTTGCCATTCGTTTTCCACCCGGTCTCGAAGTTATTAAGGGTGAAACTCGCCTAACAAAAAATGTCCTTCAAAACATGCATTTGTTCCATATAGATTACGAAACGCAAGTTGTTTATTGGGCTATTGATAGCCGCGACTACCTTTGTATTGATCATCAAAATTCCCAACTTCTTAGTTTGTCCAATCCCATACACAATACTGTTTGGCGCCTTAGTTCCAATTTAGGTGTCCCGATGCCCGAGCCTGATTCTGATAATGAGCCTATTCCTTATGTTGCTGCGCCAGTACAACAAGAGCCCATCACGCATCCTCATCATGACATGTATATGCAAGAATTTCATAGGTTGCATGAAGACAATAGGCGTTTGCATCGTGACTATTCTGAACTTTATGACAATGTTTGTGAGATAAATACTAAGATGGTGGAGTATAGAGAAGACTTCTACACCTTTAGAGACAATCAACAAGCACGCAACCAACATGTGGATTCCCTTGTGACCGACATGCATAGGGTACTCTGTTTAGGTGGTCAACCCACACGACCACCTTATTGCCCTCAATATCCACACTACCCTCCACCGTACAATCCACAATTACCACAACAATATCCTCCGCCATTTCCACCTCAAAATCATCCTCAGTAATCTATCCCGCTCTCTTCCCAAGCATCGAGGATGATGCACATTTTTTAGCTTGGGGAGGGGTGTATTATGTGCATTGCATTCTAAAATCAAAATTAAAAAAAAAAATAAATAAAAAAAAGTTTTAGTTTATGTTTATTTTTCATTTCTTTCGTAGTAGTTAAGTTGAGTCTTTGTACATATTCATGCTGCTTTCTAGTAAAATAATTAATTAATTAATTAAAAAAAGAACCAAACCAAGCCTTTCAAGATTTTGTTGGGTTTTAGTATACTACAACATCCTATGGTGCACATACAACCCTAAATACCTTGGATCTATGTTTTCTCTATTATACATGCAAATGGTTTCCAAGGCATTAAACCTATAACTAGCATGCATTTGACATAAACCATATAATATACTAGTTAGGGAAACGTACCTTTTATGTGGCTTGAAGTCTTGATGTATTTGGCCTTAAGAGCTTAGCACCAATAGTATGAAATGCCTCAAATGGAATCACAACACACCTAGGACAAAGGTGGCTCTTGAGAGAGAATTCCATGCACCAAAACACCTCCATATTTCTCTAAGAAAAGAAGTGGTGATTTTGGCTATGGAGTAGCCTATTTATATGTAGGATTCCAAGGGTCATGGGTATAACCCATAATCCATACCCATGGGTTTTATGATCCATGGTTCATGTGGCCCAACTCTTTATGTATCCATACATAAACTTGGTCCAACATGGATCATAAGCCCAACACATATAAATATAACTAATTATCATAATTAGTCCCCATAGATTTAATTAGTCTCTTTTGATCACTAAATTAATTCCAAATTAATTCTTGATCGATACTAATTAAAACATATGATTTCATATTAATATATTATAACTTATAATATATTAATAAACCATAAATAACCTTCTCTCAAAAGTCCATCCTAACAAATTGTCCTGATGATATGCAACCCAAATGGACCATGCTACTCTCGGGTCAAGTACATACCAATAATAGTTATGGGCTTAAACATCTAATCCAACAGTCTCCCACTTGGATAAGTCTAAAACTATTATTGCAAGTACGACTTCATAACCCGACTAGCAATCGTAGCTCTTAAAGCCGTTGTCGAACTCTGAACAAATCAATGACGCGTCCATTAGATAAGGGATTATATATTCCTCCATTCTAGATATCATATGGACTGAGACACGGATTATAATCATTCTCTCTGTCTATTTGTTGTTTCCCGATTTTCGATTTATGATGACTGACTGATTGAACAAATCAAATCAGTCCTGGCTTGGCCAAGCACTCACATGTGTCCTCGCTAAATCATCGAGGGGCCCACAGATATCGCTTTTATCCCGAAGGTAAAAGGAATGGATAAACTTCGACTCATATGGCTTGTTCTACTACTTGTTGAATCATACACAAAGCAAACGTTTATAACATCGAGTTACCAAATGCGTTTTCGTGCAATCAATGTATAACCAACTCATAGTAACAACTCATATCTCTAGGTTTGAAGAATATAAGATATTATCGTCTCATGATCACTCGTGATACAATCCATGAAGTGATTCAAATGAGCGCGGGTTGAATCCAATACTCAGAACTTATGAGCACTCATGAGTGTTGTAGCACCACTTTGTCCACCAACTTGGACCTCTACAAACCAACCCATGACAGTCTTGATTCATATCTACTTCCAACATATGACCGACTGTGGATGGTTTGAATAACTTAATCATTCAGGAAGAGCGACTTAGTTATTCTGGAAGTCAAAACATGCAAAGTGAAACACAAGAATAAATGAATCAAATATGGTATCAAACCCTATGAATATAAATAAACACTTTTATTTATCACCATACTGATTACTCATTATTCATTGTTTCGGTTTTATCAACTTTATACTTGAATTAAAAACACTAGTTGTCCCATGCTCCAAGCATGTACACTATGTTTTTCTTAAACAATAGCTTTGCCATACACCAAGTATGCACTCTATGTTTGTCTATGATCCTTACTTTGTGAAATAAACCAATTGAACATAATTTCAATGATTCTAATTTCACACTCCCAAATCCTTATCGAAAAATGTGAGAATTTCAAATTCCTATCATTTATCGAAATCTGTTTAGATTTTAAACTTATATGCACTGACCCTCCTGTAATGAATATGTACAAAGTCACAAAGACTTGTCAACAGTCATTATAAGGTATTCCAATGGAGATCAACTCCATGGAAACTAAGTCTCATATTCAAAGTACATTGCTTGGACATGCTTCTTGCATTAAGTTTTCTAATCTTACACAGATAACTTCCACCTATGGAGACAACTCCATATTCTCATTTTGACTATCACTTCTGAATAAGAGATGCCTCTTTTCAGAATATGTCAATATGGTCCTTCCAAAATTAGCACTATACTTCCAACTGTCCCTGAGCAACCAATCTTTGGTAAACCTCAGATTGTCCTCGACAATTGCTTAATCATTTTAGTCATATCCAATTCTAGACCTTTTCCCTTCTTAATGCCTCTGGGCATTTGGAAAAATTTAGAAATGACAAATATTATAGCACATGCAATCGATCCTGTACCCAAAGCAAATGGTACACGATTCATGATGTCTCACATAAAGACATGATTCTAGACCAGTCTTTTGCTACAATATTTTTATTTGCCATGTTTTCAAAATTTGACTATGAAGAGGGATGCCGTAATCATAATCGAATTTTGAGAACGCAATATATAGAATTTCCTTAAGTTGAACCAATCCAACATGAAATTCATATATATATTCTTGACTAAAGATGATTAAGGTCTCAATCTAAGCCTTTAGAACTGAAATGAAGTATATCCTCTCCCTTAATTATAGCAAAACAACTTTTTCAATCCCTGCAGCCTCACGAATTGAAACTTTTGTTGTCTATAATTAACATTGCTAACTTGCAACACTAACAATAATTATCATGCTCCCACTAACATGATGATTATTAGCATAACACTTATGCTCCCACTAGCTTTGACATGTACTCAGAAATCAGCTGGACTTCTAGAAATCAATACTTTATTGACTTTCTTACCAAAGTTCAGATTTCTGATACGAGATGCTTTGATAAAACTTTATCAAAATCATACACCTTTCCTTAGATAGCATGCATGTGTGTCTAAACAATTTCAGAACTATGAAAAGGGATGCCGTAATCATAGTCTCAATTGTTTAGACCTTTTGCCATCTACTTCAAATCTACTTGGTGGAAGTGTTTCCTCACCATCATTTTCATGAAAGGGATCCATGTGAATCGTCAAAACCATAGTCACAAGACAAGGATAATGACAAATCCAAACTCATATGGAGTGAACTTATGCAATCTTAACTTCTTGCCACCTGGCAGTACAGGGCCTGCCATTGCTTCCAAGTTGTTATGCAACCAATTGAGAACTTTCAGAACTCCTATGCAAAGCCAACTTTAACTGGAATGGGTACAGAATATGTCAACGTGATAGGTTATAAACCTCAAGTCGTGTGCTAGTGAAGAACCTCAGGTTTTATTCTTGATTAGTTCTTGAAATTCTTTTTAGGATCTTTAAGACTCCCACTATCCTCTTGACATATAAGACTATCTTGCCAAATATTCAAGAGATAGTGCGGATTCTTTATCAAGACAAACACTTCACACAATTGGCCTTAGTTGGTCTTTGTTTTATCCAAAACATCACAACTTACCAATTTCAAATGTACAAGAGTAGGACACTTTTACTCTTACATTTGACAAGTGTTTTAAACCTTTCTTTAAGATATGTCACTCAAGTTACAATCTTGGAGTATGACTCTAAGAATTGTTTTGGAACGAAGTATGACTCATCTTCCTGATCTAACCATTTCAACAATTCAGGACTCCTCTTCTTAGTCATAAAAATGCACTAAGATGACCTTTAGAGGACTAATTGTGATATGATTTCTAAATCATTAAGATGATCACAAACATGATACTAAAGTACTCTCCCATCTTTTCAGATTTGAGAAACTTTTATCTTTCTGCCTAATTTGATTCTTCCCATTCGTTCTGCCATACATTGAGACTTTTCCAATGTTTCAGAATTATACTTAAACTTGTAAGTATAACCATATTTACTAAACTTTAGTAAATCAAATAGTCTTAACGAGCTTTGTGGTGGACATGACCAGTGCACAAGAATGTGTACTCGATCCCTTTAGTCCTTCACTTGACTCACACATCCATGTGAACAAGTAATTAGTCTTGATTTTCCAATGCTTGAAAGTTCTCATTCATCATACTATTCAACTTGCATGATTCCAAGTTTCGGTCCAATTGAAACTTGGGTGATGAGGAACTTTCCTGATTTGGTAAATTTAGACACTACCACAAATGAAAGAATCAAATCCATTTTCCAATATTGTTGTCAGTGGAATCATATAAGCAACAATTTTCCACAAATGCCATTGTAAGGATACTTCAAATAAATAAAATTAAACAATTTTCTTTTATTTTAAAACTTTGCGGAAAAACTTATCCTTACAATCCACATGGAAAATTGTTGTTATCTATTCCTTAGCAATATATCATAACTTCTTAAGCAACTGCTCAAAATTCTGATGCGATCGAAATCCACCTTCGCGATCAGAATCAACATATACTTCCTTTAAGATTTCTCTCTATTCTTTGATTCTTAAAACATCAACATGTGACCCAGTCACATCATGTAATGAGGATCTCAGAATAGAACTTAACAGAGTTAGATAATGGGCTCTACCTGATGTAGAGTCAAACTTATTGACTTTAACATCCTTAGGTAAATTTGGCAGCTTTGCAATCAACGCCCCTTCCTTTGGCAAAATAAACATATGGACCCTTTGGTAATGGGACTATCTCAGACTTAGCCTTTCTCTTTACCATTTGGTCAACCGGGTTGACTATGGCCAATCCCTTTCCATTGGGAAGAGAATGCTTTTTCTGGATTTCCAGACATAAAGTTTTTGGGAAGTTG